GGAATAGTTTGAGAAGGATAGGTGTTAATTCTTTTTTTAAACTTGGTGAGATTTACCTGTGATGCCATTCAGTCCAGGGCTTTCGTTTGTTGGGACTTTTTGATTACAGATTCAATTTTATTAGCAATCGTATGTCTATTCAGATTTTCTGTTTGTTCTTATTCAGTCTTGGAAGATTGTTTCTTGGAATATATCCTTTTTTCTAATTTTTCAAATTTGTTGGCATTTCGTTGTTTGTATTATTGACTTCTAAGTTTTTGGATTTCTCTGGCGTCATTGTCACTTATCTTCTTTCATTTCTAAGTTTATGTATTTGGGTCCTATCCCTTTTTCTTATGACTCTAGTTAAAGTTTTATTAATTTTGTGTATTTTTTTTCCAAAGAATTAGCTTTTGGTTCCATTGATCTTTTATAAATTTTTAGATCCTATTTTATTGTTGCGTATTAATTTTTTAAAATAAGGTTTTATTGACTTTAGAGAGTGAGAAAGAGATGGGAGAGAGAGAGAGAGAGAGAGAGAGAGAGAGAGAGAGAGAGAGAAACATAGATCTGCTGCCTCCTGCATGCCCCCTGCTGGGTTTCAAGCCCTAGCAACCTGGACATCCTGGCTTGTTCCCAGATTGGGAATTGACCAAGGATCTCTTGGTACATGGATCGATGCTCAAAAATTGAGTCACAATGGCTGGGCTACTCATTTCTTTATTATTTCCTTTATTTGTTATTGTTTTTCTAGTTTCTTTAGGTGTAAGGTTAGATTTTTTTTCTTCTAAGGTTAAAAGTGGAACTCTTTGGCTGTAAAGATCATCTTGTAGGGTGAGTCTTGAGACCTCATGGTTTCCATGGTGCAGGTGGATGCAGCGACACTAAGTCTATTCTGCCCCTAGTGTTTGTCATGATGGAGACTACAAGAACCATCTCCTCTTACCCCTTAATGTATCACCAATGGATTTCATGAAACCCAATTGAATCTTCTCTTCTGATTGTAACATATAAAACTAGAGGACTGATGGATGACATTTGTGCAAGAGTAGGCCTTCCTTCCCCCGGCTGCTGGCACCAGCTTCACTCTGGCACCTGGGACCTGGGCTTCCCTCACAGCCCCGGATTTGTCTGAAAGGACATCTGGTCTAATTAGCATATTATGCTTTTATTATTATAGATAAGGTATAAAACTGCCATTCTCCAGAACAATATCTCAATCCATTGACATTTTGCTTCCTGACAATAAACTAACAAAAATTCTTGTGAGGTTTGAATGATTCTTACATTGATGGAACCCAGTTTTCAGATAAATCTCATTATTGCTGGATTAAGCTGTGTAACTGTGCTGGCAACAGGAATGGCACCAGGTGTCTGACTGGGCTTAGAACAAACGTGGGTTCAGCAGCCTGGGTACTTGGGTTCTGGCTAGAAAAAATTCAGTGTAAGACCCAAAGAGTAAGAGAACACTTACTGGGTAAATTACAGAGGTAGGGGAAGTAAGTGTTAAAAGAAATGGGCTTAGGAAAGGCATTAAGGAGGTAACGGAAGTGCCCTTGGAGCTTGGGAGCACAAGCTAATGGTAACCTGCCTGGGGAAGGAGGAGAAGGAGGGGAAGGGAAAGGTACAGGTGTGCTCCAGGGAGGGAGAGCGCACTGGGTCCTCCTTCCTAAAGGTTTTAAGGGTGGAGATTTCAGGGGAGGTCCAGGGGAAGAGCTGAATGGACTATTCTGTAGCTTTCCAGGTGTGTCCATTCAGGGATGTGGCCTCCACTGATGGATTGGTCGGCACCAAGACAGGGGTCATTATTCAATGCAGCTGGTCCTGATGTCAACCCTGGCATTTTGTTGCTTATCTGGGCCTGGAGCTGAAATACAAAGAGGCATAGATGTTATCTCTAGGGAGGAAGATCAGGGGGTCCAAACCGCAGGACCAGAGATCTGCTAGAGGAGGAAAAGTCACCCTGGGGAATCAAGGCCCCACCCTACAATTGGTTGCCCATTGCTGGACACCTGGGCTTCCCTCCCTGGTGACCTCTGTCCCTGGCCCATCTCCTTGCTCTGGGTAGGTCTGAGGAACTGCCCACAAGACAACCACAAGTAAGTGGTGGCTCATGGCCTCAGAGGAGCGTGACTGAATCACCTGCAGAACACATTTTCTCATGTGAAAAAAAATTTCTAAAGTTAACCATTCTAGGGGAGAAACCAAGATGGCGGCATAGGTAAACACCAGAGTTTGCTGCCTCAAACAACCACTTCAAAAATACAACTAAAAGATGGAACAGACATCATCCAGAACCACAGGAAGGCTGGCTGAGTGGAAATTCTACAACTAGAAGGAAAGAGAAAAGCATACCGAGACTCAGAGGAGGCGCAGTGCGGAAGTAAAATACTAAGGTGCGGAGGTGCATGCGGAGCGGGCTGGCGGCTGAGGACGTGGTTGTCGTTTTCAATCAGGAGGGAGTCTCAGGCTCTGAGCTCCAGTTCCGGGTGAGTCTCTAGGGACCCAGACTCATACGGGAAAAGCAGGACTGTCTGGCATTGGTTGGAACTCGAGGGCAGCTTTCTCTCCTAGGGGCTTGCAGTGATTACCGAGACACTGAGAAGCAGAGCCTCTGAGGGCTGGACTGAGAGCAGCCATAACTGCTAGCCCCACCCTGTTGATCCCATGGGACCTGCCCCGCCCAAGCCCTGCAGGGAGACTTTTGCTGGATAGCCTCAGGTAAAGGCTAGATTAGCACCTCCCTAGAGATCCAGGATCCAGGAAACCCAGAGGTCAGAGTGGGACCATCCAGTTTGCAGCTCCATGGAACCATAAAGGACACACTCAGGGGGCAGACTCAGTGAGCACCAAAGCCCCATTGAAGCAAGTCTTGCCCCAGAGGGGTGTCTCCAGCACAGAAGTTCTCCCACTGCAGACACAGCTGATTCTCACAGCCAATTGGCCTGGAGGTCAATTCCTCCCAGTGATACCTACAACAATCAAGGCTTAACTACAACAAGACTGTGCACAAAGACCACAAGGGGGTGCACCAAGAGTGTCCTCCTCAGGTAATTGGGGAGGCTGAACCACTGGGCCCTAGAGGACACTCAGCACAGAAAACCACTTTATCAATATAGTGAAGCATAAAAAATGTGGAGACAAAGAAAAAGGACAAATAATGACAGAAATGGAGGAAAGCAAACTACTGGATATAGAGTTCTAAACCACACTTTTAAGGTTTTTCAAGAATTTTCTAGAAACTGCCGATAAACTTAATGAGATCTACAAGAAATCTAATGAGACCTTCAAGGTTGTGATAAAGGACCAACTAGAAATTAAGCATACACTGACTGAAATAAAGAATATTATACAGACTCCCAACAGCAGACTAGAGGATTGCAAGAATCAAGTCAACGATTTGAAATACGAAGAAGCAAAAAACACCAAACTGGAAAAGCAAAATGAAAAAAGAATCCAAAAATACGAAGATAGTGTAAGGAGCCTCTGGGACAGCTTCAAGCGTACCAACATCCGAATTATAAGGTTGCCAGAAGATGAGAAGAGAGCAAGATATTGAAAACCTATTTGAAGAAATAATGACAGAAAACTTCCCCTACCTGGTGAAAGAAATAGACTTACAAGTCCAGGAAGCGCAAAGAACCCCAAACAAAAGGAATCCAAAGAGGACCACACCAAGACACATCATAATTAAAATGCCAAGAGCAAAAGACAAAGAGAGAATCTTTTTTTTTTTTAATATATTTTATTGATTTTTTACAGAGAGGAAGGGAGAGAGAGAGAGAGTTAGAAACATCGATGAGAGAGAAACATCGATCAGCTGCCTCCTGCACATCTCCCACTGGGGATATGCCCGCAACCCAGGTTTCATGCCCTTGACCGGAATCGAACCTGGGACCTTTCAGTCCGCAGGCCGACGCTCTATCCACTGAGCCAAACCGGTTTCGGCAAAAGAGAGAATCTTAAAAGCAGCAAGAGAAAGACAGTTACCTACAAGGGAGTACCCATACGACTGTCAGCTGATTTCTCAACAGAAACTTTGCAGGCCAGAAGGGAGTGGCAAGAAATGTTCTAAGTGATGAATGCCAAGAACCTACAACCAAGATTACTTTATCCAGCAAAGCTATCATTCAGAATTGAAGGTCAGATAAAGAGCTTCACAGATAAGGAAAAGCTAAAGGAGTTCATCACCACCAAACCAGTATTACATGAAATGCTGAAAGGTATCCTTTAAGAAGAGGAAGAAGAAAAAGGTAAAGATACAAATTATGAACAACAAATACACATCTATCAACAAGTGAATCTGAAAATCAAGTGAATAATCTGATGAACAGAATGAACTGGTGATTATAATAGAATCAGGGGCATAGAAAGGGAGTGGACTATTCTTGGGGGGGAAAGGGGTGTGGGGGATTCGCGAAGAGACTGGACAAAAATCGTGCACCTATGGATGAGGACAGTGGGTGGGGAGTGAGGGCGGAGGGTGGGGTGGGAACTCAGTGGAGGGGAGTTATGGGGGGAAAAAAGAGGAACAAATGTAATAATCTGAACAATAAAGATTTAATTAAAAAAAGAAAATAAAGGAAGCGATTTCATGGAAAAAAAATAAAGTTAACCATTCTAAATGCACAGAAGTCACTTTTCATGCTGGAAATGATGGCTTATTTCTGGTTTCAATGCTCTTTGGGAATCTGGCAGTAGTTCTGGAAGGTACCACCCTAAGGCATCCCTGATCCCTGAGCCTGTGCACCTTTTTGGCAAATGCACACGTCAGACTCCAGTTGTCAACAAAGATGAATATGGAGCCAGATTCATTAGGTGCCTTTTCAGTGTGTGTGTTTGCAAGGAAGGACCACTGTTCCCTGGGGACTCTCAGCGCTGCCTCTCAGTGCAAAAGTCCCTGGACAGGAGATCTGGCTGCTTTGGGCTCAGGCCTGTGCACCTCAGGCGCTAGGGGGCGTGTGGTGCACAGTGTCTGTCATCTGAGCTGGGCGCCGGGTGGGTGGGGCTATCCTCTGCTCCTACGCGGAAGTTCAGTCAGATCTCATCTCCCTTGTTCTGTCCCCATCTGTCCATCTGCGATCTGTAAGGTGCTGGGAACTGCAGGCGGGACTCGGGGGGCCCAGGAACCAGAAATGGTGAGTGTGCGGCCGGGCGCGGGGACGGGGAGGAGGGGCGGGTGGAGCCGCCGTGGCGGGACCGTCTCTCCACGGTCAGGTCCGGAGCCTGCGGACCCGAGGCGCCGGGGGCTCCGCTGAAACTGCAGGCCCCTCGGGCTCGCAGGGTGGGGCCCCGCCGGCACCCGGGCGTCCAGTGTGTCCCCGCGGCAGGGCCTTGGGCTGCGGAGCGCGTCTGGGCAGCTCTGCACCCTCATCCCCGCGGCTCCGCAGTCGGTGCGGTGACCACGGGGAGGGTCATGGGGACAATGGGGACTTGGCCCCCGCGGTTCGTGCACGGGAGGAGCTGTGGTCTGTGGGTCCCCCGGTCCCTCCTTTCTCCCCAGAAGGACCCCGTTTTCTCCTGAGTTAGATGTTTGTGGAGCAGGCTCTCAAGTGCCCCCCCCTGTCCCCCAGGCCTAGCTCTGCAACAAGTGCCTGCACTTCCAGTCTCTCCCCCGAATCCTAACCGCCATCTTCCCTTCTCTGAGTCACAGCGTCTTTATCAGCTATTTGTTTTGTGGTGCTTTTCAAACCGTTTAAAACAAACTTCAACTGAGTGAATTGGAAGGTCTAACTGGCTTGATTCCCGTTCAGGAATCCTGCCGCATCCCATCTAGGAAATAGAATCTCAGAGGAGCTGTTCACAATGGAAGGCGTTTACAACAGGCAGAAAGGAAGTGGCTTTGAGAGGTTATTAGTGAAAGAAAAGAGGGGATTGCTTCAGGCAGGGTCACCCTTCCTTAGGGGAAGGAACAGCAGGAGTCTTTAGACAGATTAGTGTTGATCAGCGAGTTGCAGAGTGACTGGGTTAAAACTTTACTCCTGGGAGAGGTGAAACTGCAGTTACCTACAGTCCTGCACCCCTGAACCTGGGGAGGACATCTGGAGGCAGTTTTGTTGTTTTCAGTTCTCTTACAAACCTGCAGGGTGTAGCCTGCTACACACCTAGGCCATATGGTGTAGCCTGTGGGTCCTAGGCAACAAACCTGTGCAACATGCTACTGTACTGAATGCTGTAGGCAATTGTAATGCAGTGGTAGGAAGCATTTATGAAAAGGTGCAGTAAAAATGTGGTGTGCAAGGTAGGAAATGGTACATCCGTGTGGGGCACTGACCCTGAATGGGCTGCAGGACTGGAGGCTGCTCTGCAGGAGTCAGTGATTGGTGAGTGAATATGAAGGCCTAGGACGTTACTGTGCACGACTGTAGACTTTATCACACTGTACACTTAGGCCAGGAAATTTGCAAAAAACAGATTCATCAAGCCCAGGAGGCAATGATGCAATCAAAAGGCGCAGTCAACACCAGACCTGTGAGGCTGCTGCCCGCATAAACAGCATACTGCTTCACAGCAAAGTTTTCTTTCACTAAGTAGAAAGCACACAAAGATAAAGAGGATAGCATAGCAAATGCATAAACCAGTTTTTCATCATCAAGTATTCTATGTAGTGACCGTAACTGTGTGCGCTGGACTTTCATAGGACTGGCTGCACAGGAAGCTTGTTTACACCAGCATCATCATAAACATCTGAGTAATGCATTTCCCTATGACATTGTGATGGGTGTGACATCACTAGGTGATTGCAGTTTTTCAAATCCACTGTGATCTTTTTTTTTTTTTTTTATAGAAAGGTGTAAGGCACAGCTATAGGGTTAATCCTCTGACTGACCTGTTGGCAAAGCCACAAACAAGTTTCAGCTTAGAGGGAACAGTCCTGTTAGCATAGTTGGGCTTATGATGCTCCCTAGATCCTTCCTGGCTAGCTAATGGGCTGTGGGAGGTGCAGCTAGTGCTGCCAAAACAAGTGAAACTCATAAGAACACTGTAACTGTGGTGACCACTACCTTGTTTACCTCTGGCTATAAAATAAAGGCTCAGCCTGCGGCTGGATCTCTCTGTGGCCTCAGCCAGGCACAGGAAGATGCACCTACCCAGCTTATTCTCTTTGTCTGTCATTTCTTCATCCTTCACTGCCCTCACTCAGGCTTTCGAACCCTTGGCTGAGCTGACTGGGCACAGAAAGGATTTTCTTTTTTTTTTCTTTTCTTTTTTTTTTTTTTTAATATATTTTTTATTGACTAAGATATTACATATGTGTCCTTATCCCCACGGGATTTTATTTTTCATTAAGTTACAATTGACATTCAACATTATATTAGTTTAAGGTGTACAGCATAATGATTTGATATTTGTATGTAATGCAAAGTGATCATCACAATAAGTCTAGTTAGCATCTGTCATCATACAGAGTTACAGAATATTTTTTTCTTGTAAAGAGAACTTAAGATTTACTCTTAGCAACTTGCAAATCTGAAATACAGTATTACTAACTGCAGTCACCACTCTGTAAGCTGTATTTCCATGACTTATTTTATAACTGGAAGTTTGTGCCTTTTGACACCCTTCATTCATTTGACCCCCAGCGCACCCCCGTACACCACTACTGCAACCTCTAGCAACCATCAGTCTGTGCTCTGTATCTATGGAGTTGTTGTTTTTTTTTTAAAATATATTTTATTGATTTTTTACAGAGAGGAAGGGAGAGAGATAGAGAGTTAGAAACATCGATGAGAGAGAAACATCAATCAGCTGCCTCCTGCACACCTCCTACTGGGGATGTGCCGGCAACCAAGGTACATGCCCTTGACTGGAATCGAACCTGGGACCTTTCTGTCCACAGGCCGACGCTCTATCCACCGAGCCAAACCGGCTAGGGCAGGAGTTGTTTTTTTAAAGATTCCACAGATAAGTGAGAACACGTGGCATTTCTCTTTTTCTAACTTATTTCACAAAGCATCCTGCCCTCAAGGTCCATGAATGTGTTGTTACAAGTGGTAGAATTTCTTTTTCTAATGGCTGAATAATACAGTAATAGTCCTCTGTGTGTGTATGTGCACCATTTTTTTTCTTTTTTTTAAGGTTTTTTTTTTTAAAATATATTTTATTGATTTTTTACAGAGAGGAAGGGAAAGAGAGATAGAGAGTTAGAAACATCGATGGGAGAGAAACATCGATCAGCCGCCTCCCGCACATCTCCTACTGGGGATGTGCCCACAACCCAGGTACATGCCCTTGACTGGAATCGAACCCGGGACCCTTCAGTCCGCAGGCCGACGCTCTATCCACTGAGCCAAACCGGTTTCGGCTCTTTTTTTTTAAAGTATTGCATGTTATCTCCTTTTTTCCAGATTGACCCTGCCCCCTGTCACTCTCTCCCCCCAGGACAAGCCCCAGTGTCCATGTCCATTGGTTATGCTAATATGCATGCATACAAGTCCTGTGGTGGATCTCTTAACCCCCTCCCCTCCCTTGCCTTCTCTCTGAGCTTGGACTGTCTGTTCATTCTCTGGATTAATATCTGTTCATTAGTTTTTGTTCATTATTTCCTGCATATGAGTGAGATCATATGATATTTATCTTTCTCCAACTGGCTTATTTCGCTTAATATAATGCTCTCCAGGTCCATCCATGCTGTTGCAAATAGTAAAAGTTCCTTTTTTATAGCAGTGTAGTAGTCCATTGTGTAGATTGTAGATGTACCACAGTTCTTGAATCCACTCATGTACTGAAAGGCACTTAGGCTGTTTCCAAATCATGCACCATTTTCTTTAAAATTTTTTTTTTTAAATTCTCACCCGAGGATATTTTTCCATTGATTTTTAGAGAGAGTGGAAGAGAAAGGGAAAGACAGAAATATTGATATGAGAGAAACACATCAGCTAGTTGCCTCCTGCACGTGCCCTGACCAGGACAAGGCGGGGGAGGGCCGCTTGCATCCAAGGTGTGTGCCCTTGACCAGAATCGAACCCCGGACCCTTCAGTCCACAAGCCGACGCTCTATTCACTGAGCCATACTGGCTAGGGCTTAAATTTCTTTTTCAGTAAGTCAACACAATATGTTAGTTTCCAGTGTCAACATGGTGATTAGACATGTACATAAGTTACAAAGTCGAATACCCATGAGATATCACACATGGTTAATAGAATATTATTGACTGTATTTCCTGTGCTGCACTTTACATCCCCCTGACTATTTGTCACTACCAATTTGTGCTCCCTTTTTGTTGTTGTTGTTTTTGTTTGTTAATCCTCACCCGAGGATATTTTTTCTTTTTTTTTTTTAAATATATTTTATTGATTTTTTACAGAGAGGAAGGGAGAGGGATAGAGAGTTAGAAACATTGATGAGAGAGAAACATCGATCAGCTGCCTCCTGCACACTCCCTGCTGGGGATGTGCCCGCAACCAAGGTACATGCCCTTGACCGGAATCGAATCTGGGACCTTTCAGTCCAAAGGCCAATGCTCTATCCACTGAGCCAAAGCGGTTAGGGCCCGAGGATATTTTTCCATTGATTTTTTAGGGAGAGTGGAAGAGAGAAGGAAAGACAGAGAGAAGCATTGATGTGAGAGAGAAACACATCAATTGGTTGCCTCCTGCCGGAGCCCCTACCAGAGCTGGGCCGGGGAGGAGCCTGCAACCAAGTTACATTCCCTTGACCGGAGTCAAACCTGGGACCCTTTGCTCTGCATGCTGATGCTCTATCCACTTAGCCAAGCCGGCTAGGGCGTGTACTCCATTTTTGTTTTCTTTTTTTTAAACATATCAGTTATTTAATCGGGTTCTCATAAGAAATTCAGAACACCGGTTTGTGAGGATAAAGCCCATTGGTGAGAGCGAACAGAGAGCGGAGGTAGCCCTGGAGCTGAGGAACAGCTTTGATTTTTGGCAGAATTTGTGAGTCCACAGCTTTCTGGTCAACCTTGCGCTGTTCTGTAATCTCCTATTTCTTTCTCTGTGTCGAAGGTCTCACCCTCCTGGTGTCTGGGCTTGCGCAGCTGCTGCTTCTTGAAGTAAGCATCAGTGAGATGTTTGGGGATTTTCACACCACTGATACCAATTTTGGTGGAGGTGGCGATGACAGATTTCTGGTGTGTTCCACGAAGAGGGACTCGATTGAGGGACAGAGGTCCAGTCA